TTTCTTGCCCTGCTTTGGGTCAAATTTTTGTTATCAAAAAAGAGTCGTTTTTTGGAGGAAAAGATACCCTCTTTTATTCGTGATTTCATTTTCTCATTTCTCCATGTCATTTTTTTGTTGCAGCTTTCCTTCCTGTCCCATGTGTCTTCTATTTTTTCCTTGAACAGTTTGTGATTTTCGATTTTTTTTTACTAAACCTGGTTGTTTGCTCTGGTTTGGAACTAGTAGTTTATAACATCTCTGTTGTTGTCTTTGCACACTTCTTGCAATGATTTTTAACTCTCAATGGAGCGAAGGCCTGAACTTGGGCTAAGCTTGTTAGGTTCAGATATGCATGTAGGGTTGAGGAGGACACAACTAGCAAAAAAACAAAAAAAAAAAAAAAGAATAATAAACTAGGAGAACAGAAAAAAATGAAGAGGGTGAGCATGTAGTTAGCAAGGGGACGCCAAAACATAAATGTCCCTCTTTAAAAAGCCTCTTTAAAAAGAAAGGAAGGAAGAAACAGGACTAATAAACAGCCCCCTGGATACTGCGATCATGCTGTATTGCCTTCTCAAAGAAGGCATCTCCTTCCTCTCCCAGATCATCGCCAGCACATAGGCATTTTTTGTGGTTGTTGTCATTGTCGTTCCCGTCATTATCGTCATCAATTAAAACGCCATGTTTGCCCACAGAATGGTCTGCGCTGTCGTCGTCGTCGTCTCGATCGCCTAATGAGTTCGCGATTCCACATCCTTGCCTCTGGTCATTGTTGTGCAATTGGTGCTGCACATGGCCTTGCCTACTACCTTTCAAGCTAGCAGCAATACGCATATAAGCTTCATTGTCATTTCCAACGTTATCGTTCTCATTTTCTGATGTTGCACGGCTTGTTACGCCACTTTCGGAGCCGCCGCCGTCGCGTCCGCCCAGGTGGTGTGAGGGACAGATATTGGAGTGCCTTCTGTCCTGGGTGAATGTGGAAGATTGTATTTGGTCCCTATTCAATTCTCCTGATAACGACTCAAGTTGGGAATTGGAGTCCAGGTGTAAATTCAAAGAGATGTGTGATGGCGTCGAATTTGGTGATGAAGAATGTGAAGTAGGAGAGACGGGGTAAGGATAGGTAGTAGAGGCTTTATCGACGGGTACTTCTAGGTAAGATCCAGGTTTATCCTGTACCGCAATAGATTGAATATCATTGCTGCCTCCATAGGTTGATACATTGCCCTCTAATATATCTTTTGTTTGTTGCCGCTGAGGTCGTCTTCTCCAAAACTTCATTGACGAATGATTGCACCCGTTAGGACAGCCGCCCCATTTCCTTCTGATCGGAATAGGCGACTCTATCTCCAGGCTAGAGCCGATTACAGCACCTGAATCGCCCTTTGACAGCTGTTCTCGCTCCCTCTCTCGCTCCCTCTCTCGCTCCCTCTCTCGCTCCCTCTCCCTCTCCCTCCTTAACTCAGACCAAGTGCGCAAATTATTCTGAAGGACATACTTCCCATCGTCGTCGTTCTTCTTCATAATTACGAACTCACAATGATTGACATTTCGGAGGTCCTCAAAGTACTCAACACTGAAGTGGTACAAGTTCATTAAAAATATCCGCGTCATTAGACCATGCGTCCCCACTGTCACACACGCTGGCAAAGCTATCTTCTCCAAAGAG